TTTCTATTTTGATAAATTTTCAACTTCAATCTGCCCGGTGCCATTAACGCGACTGTTAACCTGAAGCAGCAATAATCAATACAATATGGCATTATCTGCTTTAAATTAGAAATGCAATAAACAACAGATTGTCAACCTAGAAAATTTTTGTATTTTAACAACCAAAGCCAAGTACAACGATTTGCAGGCTAAACAGTTACTGCTGTTAAGTTGCGTTACTCATTACACAGAAATACAGATGGAAGCTTATATTTAAACCACTTTGCTGACTAATATTATTTCTAAGGGATATTTTTTATTTGTTAGCTCGTCTCTGAAACACAAATTTTCTTTTCACAAAAAACAGTAAATGGAAAAGATAGAATGAGTAGAGAACAACATAAATATTTAATCTTACAACTTAACCACAGAACTACTACAGTTATGCAACCATCACACTCCGCTGGACATGTTTAAAAACTATTCAGACTAATAGAGCGTTCTACGACTTACCGTTGAGCTCACTGCTGCCTTCATCAGATGTTAAATTTGGCAGTTCTAGTTGCCACTGCCCATCTGTTACTATAGCAAAGTTCTCGCATTTGCCTGTGGACAATTTTGCCAGGCTAAAGAGCTTCAGCGAGAAACCACTAATTCCAACTTGCTCCTTCCATCCCAAAAGTTCAGTCAGATGTTTTTTAAATTCGAATACTCTTGTGTGTTTATCTTTGTCGACCGGAAGCTGGCTACGGTGGCGTTCAATTGGAAAAAACTCACTATCACTTTTATGATTCCACTCTTGGCTGACTCGGCTGGACTGCAGGAACAAACAACGTGGTTGAAATATTACAGTGGGAGGTTAGTGGGCTGAATGTTGGTAGTCGGTTGATTTTTTTCTGTTGGCAGTCAGTAATTTTTTTTTCGTTTTGTCGGTAGTCGGTAGTATTTTTCGCCCATTGTCGCTGGTCGGTTAACCCCATTCACACCCTCCTCATACCCTGTTGACCACAGGTAGACCACACTATGTTTGTGGTTGATAACTGTTGACACGAGACGAATGAATGAAGCCCTAACTGGACGTTTGCAGGGAACGCATCAGTAATGGAGGGAAATAGATTTCCTAGCACACGAAGACCTTCTTCAAGCGAACTTGCTTTGAACGTCAAGGATTGGAAAGCGTTTGGTCCCACAATAACTTTATTTTAGTTCACGCCGACAACCACAGGCGGCCCAAGCTCCAGCTGTGAGATGATTATCTTACGCAATAACGGTCATGGCGGAATTATAAGAGTTTGTATAGGAATATTTACGAGCGCTTTAAGGAATAAAAAAATACGTCAAATTCTCAAAAAAAATACCTCACCTCGCTTCCACAGCGTATTGCTTGTTATCTGACCGCTTACTTTGATGAAAAGAGCCCATTTGAGCGAGTTGTTCATTTCGAGGTTTTCAACATACGTTGAAAACCTCGAAATGAACAACTCGCTCAAATGGGCTCTTTTCATCAAAGTAAGCGGTCAGATAACAAGCAATACGCTGTGGAAGCGAGGTGAGGTATTTTTTTTGAGAATTTGACGTATTTTTTTATTCCTTAGAGCGCTTGTAAATATTCCTATACAAACTCTTATAATTCCGCCATGACCGTTATTGCGTAAGATGATCATCTCACAGCTAGAGCTTGGGCCGCCTGTGCGACAACCAACATTACCTTTAGCGTACTCAACTCCGTAATCGCCCCACAGAAATCAATTTAATCGCCATGCAGTCGTCAATGTAATCTGAAAAGCTCTACAAGGTACTTCCTTAATATTTTATTCAACTTGAGTGAGATATTCAAACCGAGATGTAATTTACATATGCAATTTTCAGAGGTTTTGTTCGTCGTATGTCAACAGTTATTAACCACAAACACAGTGTGGTCTGCCTGTGCCGCTGACCATAACAATTGTAAACGGCGAATGTGGAGGAAACAGCCATTATGAAATTACGGAAAAATTCCTGAATGTACCCGATTTACTGTATTCTTAACATGTAAGGTATGTAATAATGCTCATTTCCAGTTTGACGACGTCGTTCGACTGTTAGTAAATCGTAAATAGCAGACATAATTTCCAAACTTAGCTTGACACAGAAACTCGTCACTAGTTCTCCACGGTTATACCTCTGACTCTCAAAAGCACATGACATCGGAAGGGAATTAATTTGAGCAATGCCATTACAAGCATTAAAGTGAATTGGTAGCTATTTACTTCCGCATCGGCCGTGTGAACATATCATTTTGGCGATATTGTACACTGCACAAACTTTTATTCGCGAGGTATGACCTGGCTGAACTTTCTGTTAACTTCATTTCTGTTTGAAGCAATTAGTTTCGTACGAGAAACAGGTAAGCACCTCGAATCAGATTTTAACTTTACCGTTCTAACAGGCTGTAATGTGCTAAGGTTAGTTTTCTCTATCTTCGCTTAAAAGAATCCTTTTAATGTAAATTTTGTTGTTCTTTCGCTAAGAGCAAGCACCATCCTTTCTTTCGACTCCTTCAAGTCCATTGTATCTGGTGGAAAATTTCAACATCACCCTTCAGTGGACATACACTCTTGATGGTGCTCCTCTGGATGATGTAGAAGTAATTTTCACTCCTGATTCCTCCTCGCCTTCTGCACAAAGAGTTGCGAGGTATAGGAGTGGAGGCACAACTCAGGTGGCTAGTGACGTCCAAGATCGATTCGTTTTTAGTTTAACAGATAGTCAATCAACAATGACAATCCTTCGCTCCCAAAGATCAGACAGCGGAACGTATGAATTGACTGTGACTCCCGACGACTTTCTCTCAACTACCATCAAAGACAGCGTCAAGATTTCAGTGAAATGTAAGTACATCGTTTTTCCTTATTTTCTCCCAGAGACTTCTACAATAATACTGATAATAATAATAATAATAATAATAATAATAATATTAACAATAATGGTAATGATAATGAATATGAGAGTGATGATTTTCACCTTGAGACTTGTTGTTTTAGGAACTATTAAATTAGTGGTGATTGAGGGGCTTAGTTAGGCCATACTCAAGTCAGGGGTACTGTATGGCTTTGTCACTGATTATAAAACATGTTTTCTCACTTTTAAATTACTTGTTTGTTAGTATTTGTTTAAATCAGAATGAGGATCTTTCTATTTGCTGTCACTTCAGCTTTAAACTTTCTGTTGCAAAGTCAACCATCATACATGTTTTCAGATAGCACAGATATTGCATTTTATAATAAAGTTAGAATTTGATGCATGCTGTCATTGGTTGAAAGAATGTGCTCTATGAGAGTATAGAGCATAGAGCTGAGCTAAAGCTGTCATGCCATCTGCCAAATTGTATTATGTTTGACCTTTTCTGGGACTTTGTTTTGTTTTTTCTTTAATTGAAAGTAAAATTTGGCAACAAACAAGCTTGCAAGCAGCAACAGAAGAACCAAACGAAGGTTTGAAAAAATGCCAGGTGCCGTAACGTGAGCAGAAACGAAAATCTCAAAGAGAAAATGAAATGGACAGTCTGAGTTTTAAAGGTTTTCACGCACAGTTAAATTGCAAGCTTATGTACAGTAATAAAAAGCAAACACAGCTAATACCCACAAAGTATATGAAGATTCATTTTCAAAAACAAAATAGCACAAAACAGGAATAATGAAAAATTTAACCAAACTGGCATAACTCTAAAATTTGTATTAATCATGACGTGTCAGAGCAAATGCAATCATGCTGAGGTCCATTAAGGCTAGCTCATCGTGGTGATCTTCAGTCATTGCAGTGAAACAAGCCTCAGGGAATTCATTGGCCACCCTTGAAGTGAAAAAATAAGAGCTTGGTGTGATATCCTTTCCGATGCAGTGAGTGGAAGGCCACATCCGAGTCATTGCAGCTGACTTTTACAGTGCTGTCATCTCGAGCAATCTTCACATTCTGGTGAATTCAGCTGTCGTTTATTCATAAAACACTTGCCTTGAACAGTTTGTTTTCTACTTGTCATGTGAAAAAACTTGCATGTTTTTATGAGCCACAATTCAGCCATTTTTCAGTGAACATTCCATTTTCAGATTCTGTACTGGAGACAAAAAAACTTCAGGCAGAAGTGTTAGATTCAACCTGCTGAACTATGTAATTTTGTAAACTATTGCAGAATGTGAACTTTGATGGTTTGACATTTTTGACAGCTTAAGTCTTGTGCAGCCAATTAGATTATTTGAACCATTCTATCAAGGATTCTGATTGGCTTATTATAGCATGCATTATGAGAATATAGAGCATGCTGATGACACTGTTGTTCACTTTGGAAATAAGTTTGTTTTGAAAATTGAAAGGAATTCTTGGGGAATTTAATGGATTCTTTATTCTAAAACAAATAGAGAAGCCTTTACTGTGCTCTGTTCTGTTGTAAAGCACTCAAGAAGTGGGGAGAAACACAAGACGTAGTAGATAGTTTCACCCTACAATTCTTTTGTGTTTTTAGCCAATTCCTATGTGCTTTACAACAGAACAGAGCACTGTCAAGGCTTCTCTATTTGTTTAATAAAAATTTGAAGTAATTTCAACACTGAACTGACCATACAGAACCAGAATAAACTAGATTCAAAACTCATTGCTCAAAATAATTCTTTTAGTTGCATGACACTTTGGTGTGTCTCCATATGATGGGGAGTTGAAAGTTATGAGCTTTCATTTCTTTAATAAAGCTAATTTTATGGGTACCTTCCCTTTCAGAATAACAATATGAATGCATCATCAAGTTTGTAGTAGAAATGTGAATAATTTGCAGCTCCCTGGTCTTTTCCTTCAACTTCAATAAATGCTGTGAAATTATTTTGTTCTTGCGCATAGGATGGCTGAAAATTTTTCAAAATGTTACAACATACATGTTATACTATGTTTGCTTAATCAATATTTTGTTATAGTATGTTTCTGATGCTGTCAGGATTGTGATTATGTTACAGCTTTATGGTTTTAGCCTCGCAAATAGACCATTTGCAACATTCTGCTTGCAAAACTGATTGTTTTATTTGGTTTCCACCATAAACTTAAACAGTAGAATATATTCTTGTTTCAAGCACTTTCCTGCCCCCTTGAGAATTTCTCATTCCAAAGAGGTGGAAGAGTCCGATAATTTTCCATTTCAAGCACTTTTTCATGTATGTAAAGATGTATTATTTAAAATAAGTTTCAAACTTATTCATTACTTATTTACTTATTCATTCATTATTCACGACACTTAGTCATTCAAGACAACAATAGACATATTCTGTCTCCAACACAAAACAACAAGGCTGAAGTTTTCATTTCCAAGGACATGAGAAATGTTTTATTGTTTCAAGAACTTTCCGACACCTTGTGTAATATATGATGCTAAAAATTAGGGATAGAAATGATATTTTACTCTTGGGTACAATGGATGAGGTTAGTTGTTTCACAGAGAGATGACCATTTTTAGTACAATTTGGTTGAGAATTGCACAAAAGGTATCAGATATGACCTTTATTTTTCTGACTCCTTGCACTGGATAAATTTAATTTTACTATTGAGACTCTTGTGATGGTCTTTAAAACTGTGACCTATAATTTAAAGGCAAATCTTGACGTGGTTACCTTACTTTGAACAAATTTATTCTCGAGCTGAAGATTCAAGTATAAGTTTCTATTGGTTGTTTTTACTCAACATGTTCGATGCTATCAATTTGTATGCTTAGTATAAAACAGTTTAACATACCGCTGTCCAGATTTGAGAAATTTTTGCTCAATTAAGGAATTAGTAAATGAAACCACTTCTGTTTGTTCATACTAGCAACGTTGTGGGTTTGATTCCTCTGCAACTTAGGTGTGAGCAGTTATGTAGCTAATCATCTACGTGTGCCTGTCACCTTAATTAGTAAGTGTAATGACTAGTGAAGGTATTAATTGCCCTCAGTGTGGACATTGGGCATTGCTCTTAGCTGTTAAAGGTTTCGTGAATTAACTATCTGTGAATGAGTAACAGCTTTGTGTATACATGGTAAAAAAAATTCAGGGAATTCTCTATTTGTCAATGTTTGTGCCTTCTTTATGATAGATGCATCAAAGATCAACTACACCTCTGGTAATCAGACCCTGAATGAAAGTGACACATTACATCTAACATGCGTGGCTGATGGTAATCCAACTCCAAATATCACCTGGACAAGAGTTTCTAACAACAAACCTGTGTCCTTCCCTCTCATCATCAGTGGCAAACAAGATGAAGGAGGCTACAGGTGCACTGCTAGTAATGATGTTGGAAGCCCTGATAGCAGGACTGTCTATGTTTTTGTGCAGTGTAAGTTTTATTAGAGGAAGACCTATCCCTTGTGGTTTAAGGTTAGTCCTTCTCTTTGCAAGGAATCCTTAACCCGAAAGCTGTTTTAGTCAGACAAAAGGAGAGGTATGCTCCAGCAAGCAATTCTTTAATTGTTTCCAAAATATTAACATTTTGTCTCCACTTAACCAACACATATAGTATAGAATGACAATGACCTAATGAGAGCATTTTGTTCAGCAATCTCAAACACTTGACACTAATTCTGCTACTTAGGCTAACTTAAACAATGGCCTTATGATTTGCGATCATGCTTAGTAAAGCATGCTTTAATGTTTTTCCTTAAACAGTTGAAAATTTACTGGTAGTTAATGGATGGTGAACAGCATGGAAACCATGCCAACATTTTGTGCTTACACTCTTGCGGCCAAATAGTCAATGGATAACCCTTGTTTTCTAACAGTTTTTGTAGGTGTTGCCACATTGTGTTGCCCTATTGCCCTTGCCTCTTGAAGTGAAGCAAGTTGCCCCCCCCCCCCATTTACCTGTTTGCCCTCAGATATTTCTACATTTTTCCTTACCACAAAATATTCTTTTTTTGTTGAAGTCAAAAATTATTTTTTTAGTCTAATAATTGATTAAGAGAACATGACAAGTGGCTATGAAAAGCTAAGTTTAGAGATACTTACAGCAATAGACAGTCTACTGAGAGTGTTTTAATAAAGCAATGATTTTGGCAAAATTCTAAGGGACAGCAAGGTAACTAGTTGTTAAAATTTGTTGTGAGGGCAAGCATAAGAAACTGTTAAACCATTTACATAAATACTTTGTGGTATGGCATCACTCTTGTAATAATTGTGCATAGGTGAACATTGCTAAGAATCTACATGTTGATCAAACTGTGTTATTGTTTAACTGTGAAATTGAATGTTGATGGAAATATATTACAATTTTAACAGGAAACATCACTTACTTTCACAAAATGAGTTGAAAGATTCAAGAAAATTCTCAAAGGGTGGGGCAAATTTGTTGCGCATCTGGTCCCGGTTGTTTGAAGGTTGGATAATGCTATCCACTGGATAAATCTCTATCCAGTGGATAGCGCAGAATGTTTTACAATCACTTATCTGCTGGATAGCAATTTATCTAATAGATAATGGCATCCATCCTTTATACAACTGGGCCCTGCACTTCAGGGTGTTGTACATCTGTACTTCAGGGTGTTGTACATCTGTACTTCAGGGGACAAACTCACAAAGGTGACAAGGGGTGAAACATACAGATACCATTCTAACTCTGTATCAAGAGCTAGTGTAATGTTCTGCAGGATACCAATTAAGATTTTCTCAGAATGCTTGAAGTGATAAAAACTGGTTCATCAAACTTAGAGTTGAATTAAAGGTAAACACTATGAAGGTATATTCAAGGAACATGCTTGAACTTATCAGAAAATGTCATCCCCTCAGCGGTGAGCTTGTCTTTTTCCATCGCATGTTAGGGCCAGAATTATTTGTACATGTCCCAAAGATGCTCTTTAATATTATTCAATGATATATTCCAACAGCTGTTGTGGGAAGAAAATTTTAAATATTTAGTTACTACAATCATATGCAAAGAAATTGACTGAAAAACAAAATGAAGGACAACAAAAGACACTTCCAAACATTGTATGAGATCTGGAAACAAACTGTCTGGTTAAAGATGATACACAACAATTTAGGAAAACAATCCAGCAGAGTTAAATGATTAAGCTGAGTGAAAAAATTTTCAGGAAAGAACTGATATGACACAAAAAAAGGAAAGTTATGCAACAGAAGTAACAGAATATTGATGAAAGTAAGGTACTTGAAAACAAAAGAAGATAATGAAAATGTGACAAAGGTAAAAATTACAAATTTGTAATAAATAATTTTGGCTGCAACATTTTCCTTTAAGACTTCGTAATATTCTCACGACTTTTGACTAATGCTGCAGATACATGTAAATTCTTGTGATGATTTTAGAGTAATTCTGGCCATGGGCCGCAGGTCACACATTCCGCTGCTTGTGAGACAACTGATTTAGGTACATTGTGTTTACTGAAAAAAGAATAATATTGCCAATTGATTTGAATTCATTTTAGACTACCACCCAGTAGACACCATTGTGACAACCAATCTCACTGACAACACTGTTCTTGTGAATGAAACCTTCAGTATCACCTGCAGTGCACAGGCCAACCCACCTGCAAAGTATCGATTCTACAAAGGTAATAACTATATCAATGCTGCAGACAACAATGCAGTAATTGCAACTTCAGTTAGTGAAAGAGTAAAGATGGTGAACTACAACTGCATCCCGTTCAATTTTTATGGTAATGGCATCCAAAAGGCAACAGCAGTGACAGTGCACTGTAAGTATTTGATTGTATGAATTCCATAGACTATTGAAGTCAGTGTTATGAATATGTTTAATGTACATGCACATGTTTGTATACTTTATTTCCTTGAACAATCACCCACATTCACCCCCTAGGCCACATTGTCAAACAAGTGCCCCTCTCAAATAAGCAACCTGCCCTCCTCCCTCACTTTCTTAAATAGTAGGGAAACAAGGAAAACCTGTTTAAGTTGCCTCTCTTTCATATAATTTTAAGCTTCAGCTACTGCAGATTCAGCAAGGGGAAAGCTCTTTTCCCCTTACTGATTCTTTTCCTCTAACTGAGTCATTTCCATTTATTTCTATATCTGCTTGCAGAGTTCCTTTATGTGCATTACCTGTCCTGTAAAATTTTGTCTTATTGCTGGGCTAACTTATTACGCACCACCCTAGATTAAGCACCCTCCTTCCAATAAGCACCCCTCCTTTAAGTTAAAATTTTAAATAAGCACTCAGCTGCTTGTTGAAAGAAATATTGTATTTAAGGATTTTAAAACATCACTATGAAAACTGATAGTTTGTTGTTTGGACAGACTGATCTGTATAGTCCCCTACACCTAACTTTTGATTTGGATTTGGTGAAAGTTCAACTAACATACAGGGTTTTCAAAAGAATATGGAAGAGTCCAGTATTGCTATTTACTACTGTAGAATGAGACTCAGTGCTAGAGGGCAAATGCTTTTGGCTCTATATGTTGAACCCCTGCATGCTCCCCAAGGGAGCATGGAAGTCACATAAATGTGTCTCCTTCATACACATGGGGAATAATTGTTTCCATTCCACAAGCAAATTTTTTACAATTCTATTTTAATTTGTTCTCATGCTTTGTAAACACAAAGCATGAAAACATGAAAGTTTAAATCCTCATCCCCACCTAGAAAATTCACATTTTTCCCCTATATTAAAGGGTCACTTACCAATTGCTGGGAACACATTCCAATATTTACTATAAATTTACAAGACCTCAGTCTGCTTAATGGTCACCTCAGTTACAGTAGGACAAGGTCACTTGGAATTCCCAAATGGGTACTACTTCTTCTAAAGAGTCACCATTTCAAATCACAATCCAGAGAATGTGTGGTCTGAATTTTTTATTTTTATGTTTGGTCTCATTATTTCTTGTCCCACTTGAACTGAGCAAATTCAAGGATAAGCTTCACTGAGCTACAATTATCAAAAGTCAAGGTTATCATGGCTGATTTATTAACCTTCAACTCCCAAGGTCTCATCAGTAATTCTCCTTAATGTCTGCCATACAGTTCTTGTGCTGTTACTTGGAGAATTTGGTATTGGATCAACTTATAATCCCCTTATTGATATTTTTGAGTTATTAAAATAATAATAATAATAATAATAATAATAATAATAATAATAACATCTGTGTTAGCATATAGAGAGTGGTATGTTGCTTGCACCAATCAGATAGTTTAGGGTATGTAGCTTGCACCAATCAGATTGTTGTTTTTGTTCCTTGGTTTGAGAGGTGTTCAGATTTCAAAGAAGTAATGGGGAATTCAAAGAGAGCTGTTTGTAAAATTGAATCATCTTTAAGAATGAGAAATGTTGCCTTTTCTGTGTTCTTAACGTGTATTTTACTGCAATTTATGAGAAATGCAATACTACTGGACATATGAAATATATCAGATTACGTAAAGTAAACGTGTTACTCATGCTGTGAAAATGGTGGATAGTTGTCTGAGAGAAAATGAATTCTTTTGCACTGTAGCATGATCATGGTTATTGTTCCTTCACAGTGAGAGTTAGTGGAACAATTTTGAATCAAATATTGCTTGAGGTGTTGATAAATTGCTCCAAAAATTTTGGTTTGAGCAGTTCTATAACGGCAAGCTGTGTTGCAAGATTCATGATTTGTTGAGTGTGCTGATTACATTTTTCTGGATTGATTTGCTTTGTGCTAACACTAGATGAATATCTGATTAAAATTAACTATGGACAATTTTGTGTATGTTTTCGATGCCTGGAGAAAGTGATCTTGTGCAGTTGTTTGTGTTTGGCCAAGGACAAATTCAGATACCATCTTTATCTGGAATGATAAAGTCAAAGGAACAGTTTTGGTCTCGGTTCGCATTTTTGTCGACAAAATAAGCACATACTACTTAAAAAGATGAATGTATGGACCATGTGCATGTGCAAAGCTGTCAATTGTTTCTCCATTATTGTGTGTGTTAAATATTCAATAGTGACATCTCATTTACATCTACATCTACATCTACTTTATTGCATTGGTAAAATCTGTACAGACATCACACCAACCAACTGGTGTGCAAAGTAAGAAGACTATATGAAGGCTTGAAATTATAATGAGATCGATTTTGATCAAAAAATGGGCCAGGAATATTCCACAATAGTGCAAATAAACATGAAAGCTGATTGCAGAAAAGCAATTGTGTGATGATCAGTAAGTTGTAAGATTATAAGTTATCACATACCAGACAAAAAACTCTTTAGATTCTCAGTCTGCATTTTGAAGTCTGCAGTTTACATTTTGTATCTTGTCTACATTTTGTGTCTGGTCTGCAGTCTGCAGTCTGCATCTTGTCCTAACAGGTATAATTGGCACCAATACCTGTGTGTGAGTTAATTGGACATTTTTGT